TCCGGAGCCTTTTTGTTGGAACCTGATATTTTTGTGCGCGTCGTCGACGACAAAGATGGTGATAATGTCCTCTTCAAGGAGTCGTGGGGAGGGAGAACTCGCGTCGCTTTCCGTCGCCGAGATAAGTGACTCACATCGTTAACGAGTCATAAGCTGAGGGACTGTAACGTGGTCAGGCGAACGATTAAAGAGGAAATCGAAAGGAATGACGCATGGCAGATTTCTTTATTCGTGCTTTCGCTCTGATGACACGGGGAATTCGAGACGACCGGACGCAAGTCGCTCAGCATTCGGCTTGTTGCTGAGGGTTCGCAGGGCTGAAGGATACGCTTTTTTGGAGGGAGTCCGCGGGGGCGAGGTATCATATGGTTGGCCACTTTAAAAGCCATTACGCCCCGAAAGCCGGGGATCCGTTCGCGGGTCAATCTGTTAACCGGAAGTCGGGCCGGAGGTGATCATGAAGAAATATGATATGTAGCAGCCCCGCCGAATATCTTGAAACGAGGGTGTGCCACCGGCTCGTGACACCCGCTAGCTCTTGACGAGATGCATCGAGAATTTTCCGAATACGGATATTATATTCGAATTTCATTTGTTGTTCTCGTTAATAGTTTCAGAGCTCGAGTCTTCTCCTTCGGAGAAGTTTCGGGCGCAAGCCGGGAAAACTATTCAGCTCGTCGTTACCTTACCCTCGACAATTTTTCCGAACGTCCATTTCCGATCGCCGAAACGAGGACAACCTCGCCGTGAGTCGGACAGCGGATCGGACGTGGTAGATTGAGGACGGCGCGCGGCTGCCGTGGTATCTGGCACGAGGGACGATTGTGCTTTCAGATTTGCAAACACCATTTTCGGTTTGCCCACGTCGACTCGCGGGCTCGGTTGTTGTTGTGTGCCAAATGAAATTCTCCATCTGCCGATCGACCGACGTATGGATAGGCGGACAGGCAGGCAAGCTGGCCGACCGACCGGCTGGCTGGCTGGCTTGCGGGCAGACAGACAGACGTGCGAAGCGACGGACGGAGGATCGGGCAGACGTTTGAGCCGCGGAGACGGACATCGGAGCGATCGCATCAACTCCGATCGCATCCCTCCGCCTCGGGCAACATCAGAGGCGGATGCCATTCGACCTCACGCACGTTGGGATAATTATCCAAAATGATGATCTACAATAAATTCATCAACACCACGCTGGCGGCCTCCGGGCGAGGGTTCGGATCGCCATTTGACATACGCTAAAACGAATTAGGAAAATCGATTCTAAGGCTTGGTCTTAGGGCTTTCCAAAGGAATCTGGAGCGTCTAGGGAAAATTCCGATCGAGGCGGCCTCTCGACTTGTTGTTAGCGGTGTTATGTTTCCGAGTCGATTGTTGTCGTTTCTTTGTATCTCTCCGTCGCTGTTGGACGAAACATCGGGCCGACATTCTCCTGATGATCGGCCGCTCTTGAGGCATTTTGGTGAACTTCCCCTTGACCTGGCTTCGTTGCAATATCCTGTGTGTTCGCAGTACGGTAGATGACCACCCGTTCTGCCATGGGGGTGGGCGGTGGTCCAAGCGACTACGACGACGCAACGACGGCAGCCGGTGATGGTGGCGGCCGGGCGGGTGGTGGTGGCAGTGGTGGTGTTTACCTGGGTGACTCGGGAGATGTTATTAACTACCTTTACGAAGCTGAAGCACCAGTGACGGCGGCTGGCCGGACGGGCAGACTGACGGTGAGCTCGCCGGCCGCTCGGCGAGCTGTGTTTGTATGCCACACGGCGTCTCTGTTGCCTTTGATTTCCGTCCCGTCATGAGTTTGCAGCCGGGCATGCGGCAGCTTCTATGAGCACATTATTCGCTACGCCCTCATTCACTTCGGCCTTCTTCCCTCCTCTTGTCTTATGCGATGTTAGTTGTCGTTATGCGTCCTCGGAGATACGACGATGACAGTGCGTTGGTGGTCGAGCGCGATCGGTCTCATGGAGCGAGGAAGTCGGTGGCCGGCAAGGAACCGGGCCTGTGAGGAAATTAGGGAAATAATGTGACGCCGGAGCGCTCGGAGGACCGATCGCAGAGGTTCCTCGAATGAAGATGGAATCATGTACCGAGCCATCTGCGGCGGAGCTCGCAGCCCCGATCACGACGGAAACATGCCGTAGGCATCGAGTACATAATGTGGTGATCGGAATGGTCGAACAAATAATGTTGGCTCGAGCCGTATTCGACAGGATTCCAATCATGAGCACGGTGAGGAATGTGTGCGCGCCGAGCGAGACAAGGAAAACGAACACGTCGGATGGAAGTCGACCTGTGGCAGATGTATACGGTGGATGTGGGAGAAGCCAGCTGCAACCGACTGGATCTTGCTGTGGGGGGAAATGAACAAGCAACTTATTCGAATGGACTCGATTCATGGCATGCTGTTTAGCATCCGTGGGTTTAGTGTTGTTCGCTGCGAGAGCGCTCGTGCTATGCGTTCGCTCGCGTATCCGGTCCGATGGAGGACCGATTCAATTTCCAGCGGACACGCAACACGAAGCTTTATTTTTGACTCTGAAAAAAAGAAACGTGCGCTCCGACGGTAACGATCGAACTGCCAATCGATTTTTCCAGACCACTTCAGAGAGAAGTTGACTTCAATGAGAAAACAATCAATTACGCCTTTCCCGCTTGTTCCTCGTAGGACTGTGCGCTTCGTGTCAAATACTCCCGATTTTCCGCGCATCGGGAAAACTCGGAAATGATAGGAGGAACGCACGGAATTTCCCCGCTCCCTGCAGATTCGCAAGGAAATTATTCCTTCCCGGATAAAATCGCAACATTTCCGGAGGAAGCATCGGAAATGAGATGTGAAATTCATGGAAAGCACCCTCTGAGAGCTCGATTCAGTTCGCTCCATGCCGTAGTCTCGGTCTTGTCTGCTAAGCTATCGACCATCCGTGTCCGTGGATAGGGGGAACCCGGAAGGAGCCACAGATGGGCAGACGTGCCTGCGGACGGACGGACGGATGGATGAATGGAGTGATAGATGGATGCGTGAATGGTGGGTGGCGGCGGATGAATTTAAGAAAGAACGGCGCTGAGTGAGCGAACTAAGGTTGTCCTCCGCCGCCTTGGGGATTCGAAGTCCATTGTTATCCTGAGCCAATTAGCCACTGCCATGCGAGCTGCCGCACAAACCGCCGCAGTCTGTGCAGCTACCGGTACCGCGAGCGAGCAGCCACCACAAACGCCGCCGTGGTTGCAGCCACCGTCACCGCGGCTGCGGCCGCGAGAATCCTCTCCTCCGAGTCGGCTAACGCGGAGAGGAACAAGGAGGACGAGCGAGATTTTAATTTTGAACACATTGCATGTTCGCTTCTACGTAACTCACTACACGTCGCAAAATTAAAGTCTCACTCGTCTCAGAGCCGCCAGACATCGCTTGTTATGTCGCTTTCCTTCTTCCGTCTCGAGAACGCGTGGGCGTTCCGTATGAGGGAACGACAAAGATATCAACATCGGTTGATCGAGAAACCACCATCAATTCATTAAGAAGACGAGACTCATCTCGACGGATGAACATCATAGCGGTCATGGCTACGAGCTCTCGGTCGGGGAAAACCCCACAGAGGTAGGAATATCGAACCCCCCGGAATTCTCGCAGCTCTCGGAGAACTCGATTTGTTCCTTTGGGCTGTGGGCCGATTTTCGCGAGGGCAAGTCGAGGGCGCTTGTTGATTCTCTGGCGCTTTTAATCTCGCCGAACGAGCTCCGCTGGTAACCGCTGCATCACGACGGGAAAAGGGGGGGGGGCGGGCATCGGTCGGACGGATGGGCAGCAAACGAAAGTAGACCAGAACAGAAAGAAATCTCTGTTCATTTTTCATTGTCCTCTTCTCTGTCGCCGACGCTCCTCTGTTTGTTCATCGTCGTCTGGTGTTGTTTTTTTGCACGACCGAAGAAGCGACCAGGCGCTTGTTCGGTCGCTCACTCGCTCCCCCGCTCGGAGGAGAGACAGACCGAGCGACCGGACGGCCGACCGCTCGCCGAGGCGCCCGGCTCGCCTCATCGCGATGCATCTCTTTCGCAGATGAATGCTGATAGAGGGAAACCACTGCTAGCTACCGCGAATGAACATACAGAACGAGCGGGAATAAGCGTGCCGGGCGAAGTGACAATTTCGTCGGGGATCGCCGGGGAAAAGCTCCGCTCCCACGACCGCCGTGTCTCCGCGTCTCGCGGCTCGTCCCCGTCGTCGTCGCCCTCTGTCCCGTCTCGAAGGAGGCGCCGGCGAACAACAAGAGGTTTTCCCCATCCGCGATCCTCGTCACGAGCGGTCCACGATTTGCGCCCCCCACTAACTTCATATCATCTGATTAGAGCTCCACGGGAATCCGACGAGCGAGGTGCTTGGCTCGCGGATCGCTGCGTCGAGCCGACTTCATTTTCGACGATATATCTGGCGGAAGGACAAGCAACGCCAAGGTCACCGTGTCTGAGTCCCGGAACTCTCAACCCATTGAACTGGACCCAGATTCCTCTTCCCCAGTCGGGCTACGATAGATTCAGCGACACGAGAAGCGTCAAACTCGATGCGGAGCAACAGGAGAGCCCCCCAGGATGATGGCGAGAAAACCCCGTACGGACTCCAACGGCGCAGTAGGTCTTGTCGTCGACTGACAGCGAACGGTAGCTCTCCGGCAAATGTTGAGCTTGCTCCCTGAGTTCTTCTCCTCAGCATCGAATTTGCATAGCACGAAAAACAATCTTTGCAAAGTGGACACTGCCGCTGTAGAGTCCCCCTCATCCTCCCGGTCAGCCGGTCTACCGCCTTGGTCCGGTCCATTCGGACCCGCCGCGTTCTCCAAGCTCCGCGGCTTTACGGATCGTGCCCGGATGCATTCGGTCGCACTGCTTCTCATGGAGATTATGGATACTCCGGAGATTTTGAGCATACGTGAGAAAAACTACGCGGAAGGAGCAAGAAGTCGGTGGTGGCATCCCGCGGATCGAAGAGCGTCTCCAGTGTTCCATCACTCGACAATGGCGTTGGCACACGTTCCTTCAGGAGCGGCTTGGAGCATAACAGGCGGTCGGCCGTGGACCGCTTGCAAAGGATGCAGGTTTTGTTCTGAAACAATAGACAATGAAGAGTTAATGCGAGCGCGCCAGCAAGCGACCGACCGCCTGCCTGCTTGCCTACCTACCCGCTTCTCCGCCTCTTCATCCGTGGGTGTAAAAGGTAGTCGGTCGCCCGCTCTCTGCCGGTCTTCATGCCGGCCGACTCCCCGACAGTTTCGCTCTTCCCCCCGCTTCAGTTCGTTCGTCTCTTGGTTCGTCAGTCGGGAAGGAGTCTTTTCCTGGAGTCAAGCGAGTGGCTCTGAGCAACAAACGCCGGAAGTACGCCCTCAGTGCCTCCGAATGCGGAGGGAACTTTTAAAACATTCGTTTTCTTCCGCTCATATCAGTCGACTCGATCTCGACCTGGATGGACGTCAAGCAATAAGCACGACGCGATTAACACTATCTCGACGACGGATAAGATTTCGGCGTTTACGTGGGTTCGATCCCACCACCTCACCTCGTCTGTGAATCCATACGGGCTTGAAGAATGAGTGCCAATGGACAGTTTCGTCCATCACGATAGAAGTGTCGAGGACTCGATGGGAACAGAACATGCCCGCGGCTTGAAAACGCCGGGTGAACGCAGCGAACAGATGAACTGAATATCCGCAGAACTCGGTGCAGCGCAGACCCTCAAATTCGCTGTTCATAAAAGAAGGCTCGTAAATTTGACTTCCCGGTGATACTCAGAGAGCATATGAAAATATCGTGCAAGCCCAAGCAGGAGACGAATGTAATTTGGACGAAATCAAAGTTTATTCCTGCACGAGCCGAGGAGAGTCGGCATCCCGCCTATGAGGACACGGCGATCGTCAAAGTCGCGATTCCCGAGCGACCGTAGAAATGCAACAGCCGAAGCGTCAACACTGAAGCGGAGATCCGACTTTCACCACACAACGAACGCGACGAATCTCCGGGCTTGACCTTTTTCTCTCAAAGTTTCGAGTTCGCAGAGAGAGAGGGAACTCCGAGAATTTTTAGGTCGTAGCATTTCAATAATAGCCGAAGTCGGATGTTGACAGCCGACGCGGCTCTTCCACTCACTCAGCCGGTCGCAGTCTTCCGGCCTCGAGCGAACTCCGAGTTTCGGAAACACAAGTCGACTTCCAGGGAAGGCGTCACTCTTTCCGGTCTCTCTTTTCCTTTTTCCCGGACACCCTCCCCCCGCCCCACCTCGGTCTTGCCGTCCTCGTTTCTTCCGTCTCTCTCTCTCGCTCATTTCCTCTCGCTCTCATTCTGAAAGAATAAATCTTAGCTCAACTGGCAACGCATCATTCAGGCCACGTTCTTGCGGCAGAGCAAGAAGTTATCTAGCGTCTGGCAGACCGGTTCGCGGAACGGAAAGCGTTTCACTTTGCAATTCCAACCATTTAGGCTAACTCGCAACGCTAAAGCCACTTGAGTGGGGCAAGTTCCACGCGCCTGCCTGTTGAGCGCATGGGATCATGTAATGCCGCCGGCTCCAAACTCCGCGTTTAGATGTAATATGCTCGCACAACAATTGGGAATTAGAGCGTTCCGGGAGACGTGATGCTCAAGTTGTCGAGGTGCGCCAGACAGGCGTAACAGACTCGGCTAAAGCATCGAAAACTTGGATTTTTAAGGCGGTTTTCGAGCACGACGAAGTCTTTCCCATGTCCCCGGGCGCCCAGAGGAAAGGAGCACACATGCATGACAGCAAGCCGGCGCACTCTATAGTGCTACTACAAATGGAATGGGCCCTTCGTGACCCCTCATAAAGTGTCGTTGTTCTCAAACTCACTTGTCGCCTCCCTTCGGACGGCGGGCCGCCTCGCGTGCCTCCAGGAGTGTTCTGTATTTACTGCAGAGCTGAAAGTCCACGCTCAAGGTGGCGTCACTTTGGAGAGAACGAGCATCCGAGCTGACGCCGACCTGGATGCTGTCGTTTCGCGACGGAACCCGCGACGGAAGTCGCGCCGGAACCGAATTCTTGAAGAGCGACCGTGTCCATCGAGAGGGAGCTGTTTCGTTCATGTAGTCCCCTCCACTTACTCAAAAATTTCTCCATCGCGGACCGATCGCGGGGCCAGGTGGCTCGAGCGAGAGGTTTTGGTGTCTGCCGTGAATCCGGATATCCTGATTGGTCATCTCCGCGGAAAGGATAGAAAGATGGACCGACGCAGTTGGCACCATCACCTGCAGTGCCCGGGGAGATGTCTCCGTTTAGCGGAGGCGGCGGCGGCGACATTGGCAGTCATGACGTTAACGAGTTGGGACAAAGGTTCGTCCTCATATTTGGCATCTTGGGCAGACAGATCGTATCAAGAGCAGAAGAGCGCGGGAAGGAGCGACAAAAAGGGGCTGAGAGGAAGAATCCTCTTTGCGAAATGGACTCTGACTCATTCAGGTGGCGGGTGGGTGGATTCGCAGCCAGCCAGGTCGACATGAGCTGCGACTCTACGAAGCAAAAGGAAGAGGCGGGCGCACTAAAGGACTACAAATGTCTAATGTGTCCCTGATGTCCACACTAACGCTGTAAAGGCGAGTCGACTAGGGCAGTCGGTCAGTCAGTTTGTCCGACTCTCTGTCCACTGTGCGGGTTGTTGTCGCTGCCCCACCACTCCCTCCCCGTCCCTTTCTCATCGCTGCGGTCCGCTGCTGTGGGGGAGATCTATTCGATCGGAAATACCGAAATTCCGTCGGATTCCAGATCGGCAGTCCCACAGCCATGACGTCATACTCGTTCGAAGCGCTCGCCGAGCTCCCGCGCTTGCACATCGGCCTCTCTTCGCAGACGCGCAGCGTTTTTTCTGCCCCGAGATTCAGCTCGTAATTGAAATGGGGCGGGTCTTGACCCCCATCCCGTACGTGCGATGTATACGTGCCCTCGTCTGCGCGAGCAGATATTATGCGCTTGCGTCGAATGATTCGCGCAAAAGAAGCCGACTCCCATCTCCGTTGCAGCGAATCCTGCGAGTCTAGGTGTGTTTATAAGCGGGCTCCTCCAGCGCCGCTCGCGTCTCGGGGGAGTTGACGAGCCCCAAGAATTAATCGGGGTGACTCAATTAGTGCAAGTTATCCTACTCCGGGGACTCTCTTGAGCGGTAAGCTAACGAGCTATTTGCGAATAGCCCGCCCCCCCTCCCGTCTGAGAGAGAAGGACCGAACATAAGAAATGGAACAAGCCGGCGGACGAAATCAGGGGGACAAGATAAAGACCGGCGGACGTGTCATCATTCTGTGCCACATCCATTCAACTATCCGGGTATACAGCTGTCGGTCCGCGGCAGCCAATAAGTGAACCCGCTCTCCGGGTCCGAGAGTCGTGGAATGCGTTCCGCCAGGAGGACTTCAAGCCCGTGCTGGTCCGAAATCTACTCGTTCGATTTCTACGAGTGAGTGTCAGTCGGTGAGCTGAAGACGGCACACCACGGCCGTTCCGTCATTGTTACGCATTAGCTACGACGACATGAATATCGTGTCGCTTGACGTTCTTGCGAGCGCCCATCTCCGCGCAGCTATGGAATTCAATCGACGAGCCGGATCCGAGCCACGAGCACCCCGGCCGCGCAGTGCCCGATTATTATTCGGCGTAATGAAGACTCCGAACTCCTTCGAGTGGGCTGCGCGGAGAGCAACCTGACAAGCTCGCTTCAGAACCGAGTCGAGAGATGCGGCTCACGACCCACGCCGTAATAAAATCACCTCGATTACCAAAGCACTGCGGTTACAACTTCACGGACCACTGGTCCCGTGCTCGACAACTTGATCCGAACGCGAGGAAGGAATAACTTGTTGAACGAAAGCCTCTCGATTTTCGCCGAAATTCGCTCTCATTCCGTCGCCGAACTGCTCTTCCCCCGAGCGAGAACGTGAGCCATCGGACTCCTGGCCCATATACAGTACAGTACGATCGAATCGATCAGTTATCAGAACGAGGGAAAACGTCGAATCGAAAATGATCTGGCTCCATATTATTCGGCGGCATTACGAATTCGGTTTCCGTCAATCAAGTTCGGGAAGGTAGTCCAATTTTTCAGGAACAATCTACCCATTTGGATATTTGCATTTCGAGACAAGTCGCGGATTACGGGGCCGACCGAATCAAAAAAGCCTATTCGAATTATTCCGATTCAAATCGAGTCAGCGAGCGAACGCTTATTACGTAATGGATTCAACAAGTTCGCAGAGCAAACGTACATAGGCTTCATATGGATTACACCGATCTCGACAGCCTTGTCTCTGATCATCGATCCGGTCGACCGAACATCAGAAGAGGGGACGAACCCGCCGAAATTGAGAGATTCGACGTTACACAGAGACGACGCGGGTCCGGAGGGCGATTCGACCGTGAGGGGGTGGGGGGCGTCGACGACGACGGACTCGATGAGAAATAGGCCGGGCCGCAAGCGGTCAAAATGGCATCACTAGGTCGATATGCGGCTGTTGATCTGACCTTATGTACAATATAATCGATGATGGCCGATCACGATTGCACTGCTGATGAGAGAGGATAATGCGATGCACGCCAATTCATACATCTTACCATCATCGCTGGAGGCAAATCCGTCCAATGCCGACCGAACGTAATCCCTTCTAGGGAGGCAAGGGTGGAGGACCACACCCTTGTCGTCGCCGGAGCAACAGCGGACATATTGCAAAGACAAAGACGGATGTTCTACTTACTATTCGATACTTGCACGTATACTATAGACAATGACCATGCCAAACCGATAAATTATTCGCAGTGCCAGATGAACAAGGATACATCTGCCCCGTTGTTGCGTCCAGGACCGCATTCGAGAGCTGCGAATTATTTCTTCGGAGGAATCATCAGGAATCACGTATGCGCATTCGATGAAGCACGACTTGATGCCGTAAAGATTCACCCGAGGAACGTCGATTTCAGTCTCTCAGAAGCCGAGCGCTATCGCGATCCGGGTCCCGATGGGACGTAGAGGGGGGAGGGCCGATCCTATCGGCCACTCCGGATGACAGACTTTGATGAGGTTTAAATTGGTACTTGCGGGATTGACAAGGAACGCG